TTATGCTTTTTTTTTTCATATATATATATATATATATATATAGAGAGAGAGAGAGAAAGATAATTTTTTTTTTTTTTGTGAAATATGATCTGTATATATTCTGGACTGGTTGCTTACTATTTTATTTTTTATATTTTATTTTATTTTATATTTTTTTATTTTAGTTTTTGTTATTTTATTTTAATTTTTTTATTTTATTTTTTGTTGTTTTGTTTTTATTTTGTGTGTGTGTGCGTGTGTGTGTGTGTGTGTGTCTTTTAAAGACATTCCTCATTTACATTGAAGGCTTTTCTGTTTTTAAGACCATAGAAATTAATTTTCCTAAGCTTGAAAGAAGGAAATGTAGCTTATTGTTACACATGTACGCAACAGATAACAAGCAATAATATTCCTCCATTTAGTCCAGATTCATGTTTAACGACAGACAGAGATTCAGTGCAGAAAAGAAACATGCAGAGCAAAAATAAACCTAAAATAATTAGTAGATGGGTAAAAACGATTAAAAAAAAATGTAATTGCAATTTTATATATATATATAAAAAAATATATATATAAATATTTATCCCCAGTGAAATATCACCCACATCTGTAAAGTTTGAAATGATTCTATTTATAGTTCAGCGCAGGCTTACAATATCTCCTGATTGATCTCATCGGCTGTTTTAGTTTCACAGGTTTTCAACACGTCTCTGTTTCTATGAAGAACTCCACATCAACACGTTAAAGAGCTGAATATGCGTCTGATCAGTGCTGTATTTAGCTGCGAGTGTCTTCCACTGGATTCAGTTTTCTGCCGTTTTCATGATCTGCTAATTCTGGAGGAATAGTTGAGCTGGAGTTGAGATGAAGAGCAGCTATCGGTGTGTGTTCGTGTGTCGAGCGCTGCATGCTTTCATCAGCGTCTGCCTTAATATTTCTGAATGCCAGAACAATACTGTAAATACAGCTTGGGCTCTGATCTGAGCTTCAGTCTCATCGACTCGATCGGATCACACATGCCACATCCTCACACCTTCAGGATTCAAAGCCGTGTAATTATCTGCACAAATGATATGATGATATGCATTTGTTTGAAGCTCCTCTCTGTCTTTCTGACGTGATTTTGAACATTTTCAGGCCGTGAATAAACCATGAATTGTATTGTGTGTTCGTGTCAAGAATATTTATTTAAACGGGAATAAATATGTCTGGTTGTCTCACAGATTTTTGTCGTCTTGTTTTCAGTTCATGTTCTTGTTAATAAGAACCATGTTCGTTTTATTTTAACAGCAAATCATTTCATTTATGAAAAACTATAAATAATAGAAATATATAAACTGTTTATATATTTGTGTGTGTATATCTATCTATATATACAATTTTTACAAATGTATACAATATACAGTTTTTTTGGTAAATGTTTTCTTTCTTTTTTCAATTTATGTAAATTCAATTATTTAAATTAATTTTTATGACTTGTATTTTATTTGCATTTTTTAAATATTTGTAAATATTATTTTATTTGTTTATTGTATTTTATTAGCATTTGTTTTTATTTGCATTTATTTAAGTTCTTAATTATAATTTTATTATATTTGCATTTGTTTATTATAAATAATATAAATATTAATGTAAATAAAAAATATATCAGCTCCTATATATATATATATATAAAACGTTTGGTAAGTTTTTTTTTTATTTTTTTTTTACTTTTTTCAGAATTATTTTGTTATTCAGATTTTTGTCATTCGGTTCTTGTCCTCGTTAGTAAGAAGCACATTACTCTTAATTTAACAGCAAATAATTGATTTTAGTAGAAGGTCACAAAGATCATCCTCATTACAAAAGAACAAATGAGAATCACGTGATCAGTGAAATAACAGTGTTTATCTTAAATATATTTAAAGACATTGGTGTCATTTTATAAAAGCATGAATAAAGGCAGTATGATCTATATATACTATCATTTCAGTGTTTTTGTTACATTACATAATGAGATGAGAGTGACTTATAATTGTCATAAAAATAATAAATATCAATAAAAAACATAAAAATGCCTCAAATCGGCATAAAAGCAGTTTAAAAATATTAACATGATCTATAAATGCTGTACAATTTCAGTTATATATTTTTATTATATTACATAAGATGAGAATGACTCGTAACTGTCTTAAACAATGATCAACGCAAAAATTTTTTTATAAAAAATCTTAATGGTCGTAAAATATGATGGCTTTTCTTTATACAAAATATAAAGTATATTTATTTAGTTTTTGTATGTAATGTAATTGGTTTAGTGATGTCACCACCAGAGGGCGATAATAAAACATCAAGAAGATTATGTGAAAATATGTGACTGCAAACCTTAACAAAAGCTCTGTTATCATCTTTCATGTTGTAGCCAGTGAAGATCTCTGTGAACAGATCCATAACTGTTAGTAAATGCAGATGTTACAGCTGGAATGCAGCGTCAGAGCAGTTACTGAAGCTTTAATTAGCTTTAACTAGTTGTTGTGCGGGACATTCCTCTACCGTCTCTCTCATTTGTCTGCAGATGTGTGCTTGTGAACCATAAATGTGAGCCTGGAGCACAAAAGCAGTGTTAAGTCGCTGGGGGATATTTGTAGCAATAGCCAACAATACATTGTATGGGTCACAATTATACATTTCTCTTTTATGCCAAAAATCATTAGGATATTAAGTAAAGATCATGTTCCATGAAGATATTTTGTAAATGTCCTACCGTAAATATATCAAAACTTAATGTTTGATTAGTAATATGCATTGCTAAGAACTTCATTTGAACAACTTTAAAGCTGATTTTCTCAATATTTAGATTTTTTTGCACCCTCAGATTCCAGATTTTCAAATATTGTCCGATCCTAACAAACCATACATCAATGGAAAGATTATTTATTCAGCTTTCAGCTGATGCATACATCTCAATTTCTAAAAATCGACCCTTATGACTGCTTTTGTGCTCCAGGGTCATAATTGTACCTGTGCAGAGAAACACATGACAGAGCTTGATCATATCAAACAGTCCACTAGAAATTATTCTCAGAAAAGCACGTTTGTAAAACATGCGCATGGAAACTGATAATCTGGTTACACTTTATTTTAAGGCATCCTTGTTACAGTGCTGGATTTCACATGTAAGTACTGAGTAATATTAATTTACTTCTATACGGTTAGGGTTTGGTTTAGGGTTACTTGCGTGTAATTATGCATGATTTATTGTTATTATAATAGTAAGTACGTGTAACATGTGTAACAAGGACACCTTAAAATAAAGTGTTACCGACAATCTGCTTAATAAGGATTCTTTCATTCATTTATTAATGTTGAAATAGTTGTCTGACTGCGTAAAAGGCTCAGAATCTGGGTTTGTAGCTGAGAGTAGTTACTTAAAGGGGTCATAGGATGCTACATGCACTTTTACAAGTTGTTTGAACTGAAATGTGTGTTGGCAGTGTGTGTACACAACCACCCTATAATGATAATAATCCACCCAGTGTCTTTTTTTTATCTGGTTAAATGTTTGCCCCTTTCTCAAATCAAGCCGATCTCAGATGTCTGTATGTGTGACGTCACACTGTCAGGCCCCTCCCACGATAGTTTGATTGACAGTAGCGTTTCAGCACAGACTGGACTGGTGTCTTAGCTCCGCCCAGAGTGACTGTCATCAGTCCGCCAGTGTTCGCCCCCGATCTACATAAATGCGTCTATGTTCGCACGAATCATTCGTGATCCAGCTTCACCTACAGAAGAAGTGAGTGTAAGGTTTTGTAATGAATCTTTGCAAATCGCCTTTCCTAATAATGTGCTAATTAGCAAGTTTCAGTTTTGTTTTTGTAACTGTACTGCTTAATGGTTTGATGCCTTCTACTGTTTAATAAAAAAAGGAATCAGAAAAAATGCGAACCCTCAAGGAATTTCTGATCTGAAACAAATGACTCGTGATTCGAATATTCGATCTGAAGCAAATGGATCGCGATTCGAAGATTCGATCTGAAGCAAATGATTCGCGATCCGCGCTTCGAAGTTCCGATCTGAAACAAATGACTCGTGATTCGAATATTCGATCTGAAGCAAATGACTCGCGATTCAAAGATTTGATCTGAATCAAATGACTCCCGATTTGCGCTCTGAAGTTCTGATCTGAATCAAATGACTCGTGATTGGAATATTCGATCTGAAGCAAATGACTCGCGATTCAAAGATTTGATCTGAATCAAATGACTCCCGATTTGCGCTCTGAAGTTCTGATCTGAATCAAATGACTCGTGATTGGAATATTCGATCTGAAGCAAATGACTCGCGATTCAAATATTCGATCTGAAGCAAATGATTCGCTATCCACGCTTCGAAGTTCCAATCTGAAACAAATGACTCGTGATTCAAATATTCGATTTGAAGCAAATGACTCGCGATTCAAAGATTCGATCTGAATCAAATGACTCCCGATTTGCGCTCTTAATTTCTGATCTGAATCAAATGACTCGTGATTCGAATATTCGATCTGAAGCAAATGACTCGCGATTCAAAGATTCGACCTGAATCAAATGACTCCCCATTTGCGCTCTGAAGTTCTGATCTGAATCAAATGACTCGTGATTCGAAGATTCGATCTGAAGCAAATGACTCGCGATTCAAATATTCGATCTGAAGCAAATGATTCGCAATCCGCGCTTCGAAGTTCCAATCTGAATCAAATGACTCGTGATTCGAATATTCGATCTGAAGCAAATGACTCGCGATTCAAAGATTCGATCTGAATCAAATGACTCCCAATTTGCGCTCTGAATTTCTGATCTGAATCAAATGACTCGAGATTCGAAGATTCGATCTGAAGCAAATGACTCGCGATTCAAAGATTCAATCTGAATAAAATGACTCCCGATTTGCGCTCTGAAGTTCTGATCTGAATCAAATGATTAACCCTGCACCGTCCCAATCTGAATCAAAAGAATCGCGAACCCGCTCAGAAGTTCTGATCTAATGATTCGCGAACCATCATCTCACATCAGGAATCGGAACGCGGATAGCTTTTTAAAACGTAGAAACCGTACCTTAGAAGTGGAATCAAATCATTTATGGGTATTCCAACAAATCCAGAGTATTTTAACAACAGTAGGTTGTCTCTAAGCGTTTCTCCCAATCAGATATAGCTATTTGATGATTCAGCTGTTAAGTCTTAGGCAGCTGTTAAATTCATAGTAAAGTGATACATACTTTATTCATAGTAAAGTGCGACAGTTTTTATTTTTGCCAATGTTTGTCCGATTTTAACGTTGCTGTTGCTACGTTTACCTCTTCATTGCCAATAGAAAATATCTGCTCTGCCTCTAACACACCTATAAAGTTACTGAAACTGTAGAAAATGTCACTTATATAGGCTATGCGGAATTAAACCACTTTAGTATGTGTACTTAAGATATTCGAAAAAAAATCGAATCGAATCGAAAAAAACCCAGTAGGCTACGCTTTTTCCTCACAGACAGTCTTTGACGATCCCGTTGTTAAATACTCGTAGACAGAAGACTTAAGTTTATTTTTATGTAGTTGTGAAATAAATTAATAGTGAAGTGATGAATGGCGATAGTTCTTATTTTTGTCAATGTACACTCTTAAAAATAAAGGTGCTTCAAAAGGTTCTTCAAGCGATGCCAGGAGGAAGAACCATTTTTGGTTCCACAAAGAAGCATTCAGTCAAAGGTTCTTTAAAGAACCATCTCTTTCTTACCTTTTTATAATCTGAAGAACCTTCTTTCGCTACAAAGAAGCTTTTGTGAAACAGAAAGGTTCTTTAGATGTTAAAAGTTCTTTATGGAACCATTTAGACAAAAAGGATCTTCTATGGCATCGTGAAGCACCTTTATTTTTAAGAGTGTAGTCTTATTTCCACTGAAGTCGCTGTTATTTTAGCGCCAGATAGAAATAGGCCTACCTACTCTGACACACTTGTAAATGTTCTAAAGGTAGAAAATACCTACACTCTGAAAAATGCTGGGTTGTTTCAACCCAACTTTGGGTCAAATTTGGACTAACCCAACTTTTGGGTTAAAAATTTAATGTAAACATTTAACCCAACAGTTGGGTTAGTCCATATTTGACCCAAAGTTGGGTTGAAATAACCCAGCATTTTTTAGAGTGTAGAATTAAACGACTTTAGTATGGGTACTTCAGTGCACTCCCCCACCCCACCTTTTGTCTCGAGGGTTCAAATCTCCACAGTAATGTAAATGATATCCGAGGCTCCTCCATGAACTCCGCCCTTCATGAACTCCTCTCGCACCTCTAGAGTTCATCCCCGTTCATCCCCGTTCACTCCGACGGACAATAAACGCACGTATATGTGGTGTTTCTAGAGTTGTATAATGGCTCTTCTGCGCAGTGTTGGGCTTCTGGCTCTGCTGCTGGTGTCGGTCCGGTGTCTGAACCGGGAGCAGCTCTTCGATTACGGGATCCGGTTTGGTGACCAGATTCTGGATTCTGGAACCGATTCGGTTCGAGAGCTCGAGCTGGAGCAAACGCTCTTATTCTTCAAAGGAAAGTTCGATAAAGTTTACGTAAGTCACTTTTCAGAATGCATTTCTAGTTTTTCCTCTTTGTTGTTTTTCTTTTTTTTTTTCATAAGCATTTCTAAGCATTCCCTAATATTTCCAGTGATAATTAATTTAAATAAAAGAAACTAGTGTATACAGATTATGCATAAAGTTTAAAACCGACACAAGTTCATTATCAGTATGAATGAATGAATGAAGTGAACAATTTGTACAAATTGTCCCCAAGAGATCCAAGAGGAAACATGCATATCTATAAGCATCTTATTGGGGATCATGTTTTGTAGTTGCTAAAATACTTTAACTGCTATTGACCAAAGAAGCAAAAGTGTTCTCAAAAGTCATCTGTTGATCACTAAACATTTTCTATAGTCTACAAATCCAGCAGTTATTCAGTTCATATTAAGATGTCTGCCTCCCACTTTCTCTCCTTCTTGGTCTCGGAAGTTGTATATCTACAGTAAAAGCCCCCCATGGAAAGAAAACACTGGGGGAGAGACATAAATATTTACTTTAGGGGTCTGTCCTGATGTGGTTTCTTTATAAATGTGCTCATTAGTCTTGCATGTTTAGGTTCTGGAGGTTGATCAGAGATCTACAGCTTTCTATTACTCTCTAGCGTTGAACCAAATTGGTTCTATGCTTATGTTTTTCCATATTACACTCTTAAAATAAAGGTTTATTGCCATTAAATGGTGGTTCCATTTGGAATCTTTGGAATTGGACAAAATGTTCTTCACACTAAGTTCTTTTGAGAACTGTACACTTCTTTAGGGATCCAAAAATGGTCCTTTTCTCGCTTAGCTGCAAAAAAATTTGATTTGATCACTTTGGTATGAAGAACGTCCTCCGTTATTTGACGTTCAAGATCCTGGGAAACCAGTCTGGATTTTGTTAAAGAACTATTTGTTATACTTTGTTTGCCATTATTGCTTGATCTTTTAGATTTAAATCTAGTGTAAGCAGTAAGGGATTGGAGAATACCTTCTTTTCACATGTTTTGCGGCTTCCCTGCAGTTTTACTTAAGTAGTTGCCAGAAACTGGTTAAAGAAGAGCTTTTACACACACAAACATGCCGAGTTTAAATGGCACAACACCTTTTGAAGTGTGAAGGCATTCGACTGTAACGAGCACCATCACCGTTAGGAAAGAAAGATCACAGAAAAACATCGCTGTTTGTTTTAGGCTTCAGCTATGATGATGTTGTATCTGTTCTTGCAGAAAAACATCTAATAATTTGCAGTTTTTCAGAGCAGACAGTGATTTTACCTGTATTTAATGCAAGAACAGCTAAAAGAGTCACGAGCCACTGATTCTCACTCGTATAAATTATTACTAAACAAAACTACATTTATGCTCGCTTATACGGATTTACTGTGAACATTGCTTTTGTGCCTTAAGCAGTTTTATTGCAATATGCAAGAACATGCAACATTTTGTATTACACTATGCAATGTTTTATTGCAATATGCAAGAATGTGCAACATTTTTTAAATTGCAAAATGCAAGAATATGCAAAGTTATTACAATATGCAAGAAAATGCAACATTTTCTATTGCAATATGCAATGTTTTTATTGCAATATGTAAGAATATGCAATACGTTTTAGGTTTAGTGGTTCAACAACCAGCAGACGTCAAACACAGAGTGTGGGGGTTTGATTTGATCACTTTGGTGTGAAGAGCGTCCTCCGTTATTTGACGTTCAAGATCCTGGGAAACCAGTCTGGATTTTGTTAAAGAACTATTTGTTATACTTTGTTTGCCATTATTGCTTGATCTTTTAGATTTAAATCTAGTGTAAGCAGTAAGGGATTGGAGAATACCTTCTTTTCACATGTTTTGCGGCTTCCCTGCAGTTTTACTTAAGTAGTTGCCAGAAACTCGTTAAAGAAGAGCTTTTACACACACAAACATGCCGAGTTTAAATGGCACAACACCTTTTGAAGTGTGAAGGCATTCGACTGTAACGAGCACCATCACCGTTAGGAAAGAAAGATCACAGAAAAACATCGCTGTTTGTTTTAGGCTTCAGCTATGATGATGTTGTATCTGTTCTTGCAGAAAAACATCTAATAATTTGCAGTTTTTCAGAGCAGACAGTGATTTTACCTGTATTTAATGCAAGAACAGCTAAAAGAGTCACGAGCCACTGATTCTCACTCGTATAAATTATTACTAAACAAAACTACATTTATGCTCGCTTATACGGATTTACTGTGAACATTGCTTTTGTGCCTTAAGCAGTTTTATTGCAATATGCAAGAACATGCAACATTTTGTATTACACTATGCAATGTTTTATTGCAATATGCAAGAATATGCAACATTTTTTAAATTGCAAAATGCAAGAATATGCAAAGTTATTACAATATGCAAGAAAATGCAACATTTTCTATTGCAATATGCAATGTTTTTATTGCAATATGTAAGAATATGCAATACGTTTTATTGCAATATGCAAGAATATGCAAAGTTTTTATTGCAATATGCAAGAACATGCAACATTTTGTATTGCACTATGCAATGTTTTTATATGCAAGAATATGCAATACCTTTTATTGCAATAAGCAAGAATATGCAACATTTTTTATTGCAAAATGCAAGAATATGCAAAGTTTTTATTGCAGTATGCAAGAATATGCTACATTTTTATTGCAATATGCAACAAAATACAACATTTTGTATTGCAATATGCAATGTTTTTATTGCAATATGCAAGAATATGAAACCGTTAAAGAAGAGCTTTTACACACACAAACATGCCGAGTTTAAATGGCACAACACCTTTTGAAGTGTGAAGGCATAACGAGCACCATCACCGTTAGGAAAGAAAGATCACAGAAAAACATCGCTGTTTGTTTTAGGCTTCAGGTATGATGATGTTGTATCTGTTCTTGCAGAAAAACATCTAATAATTTGCAGTTTTTCAGAGCAGACAGTGATTTTACCTGTATTTAATGCAAGAACAGCTAAAAGAGTCCCGAGCCACTGATTCTCACTCGTATAAATTATTACTAAACAAAACTACATTTATGCTCGCTTATACGGATTTACTGTGAACATTGCTTTTGTGCCTTAAGCAGTTTTATTGCAATATGCAAGAACATGCAACATTTTGGTTTTTATTGCAATATGCAAGAAAATGCAAAAGAGTGTGCAACGTTTCTATTGCCCTATGCAAGAATATGCAAAGTTTTTATTGAAGTATTCAAAAATATGTGAAGTGTTTGTGCGATATGCAAGAAAAGAAGTTCTGCTCTCTAGTTATGCATGTCTGTAGAATATTTCACCTTTTTTACCACATGATATGAATTGTTATTCCTTAAGTTATGCAGATATGTGTAATACATTAGCACTCACGGTGTCGTTTAATTCAAAACTAATTTATTTTACCTGTACATATCAGTTTCTCTCCTAGCCACTGTCATAAAAAATTACATTTTTATTGCAATATGCAAGAATATGCCAAGTTTTTATTACAATATGCAACAAAATACAACATTTTGTATTGCAATATGCAATGTTTTTATTGCAATATGCAAGAATATGAAACATTTTTTTAATTGCAAAATGCAAGATTATGCAAAGTTTTTATTACAATATGCAATGTTTTTATTGCAATATGTAAGAATATGCAATACATTTTATTGCTAAATTCAAGAATATGCAACATTTTTTATTGCAAAATGCAAGAATATGCAAAGTTTTTATTGCAATATGCAAGAATATGCTACATTTTTATTGCAAAATGCAAGAATATGCTACATTTTTATTGCAAAATGCAAGAATATGCTACATTTTTATTGCAAAATGCAAGAATATGCGATTCATATTGGTTTAGATGTCTACTTATTTATGTTTCATGTCACACCCTCTGCAGGTCAGCACCAATGGCTTCATATCTCTGGCTGAACCCACCGATGAGTCTGAGTACCTGGGGAAGATGCCGGCCAGTTTTGGTATGATTGCAGCCTTCCTGGGAGATCTGGACACCACCGATGGGGCCGGTCACGTCTTTTTCCGCCAGGATAAAAGCCCTGATGTGCTCCAGAGAGCTGCAGAGCACATTGGCCAAGCATTTCCTTCTGACGACGGCATCGAACCCACTCACTCCATCATTGTCACCTGGGAGAATATGGCGCCTCAGTCTGAACGAGGAAGAGGAGATGAATATGACTATACGGTACGTCCCTCAATTCTGAATGTTTTGCACTTACAAAAGTTAGTTATGAAGCCGGCACAACAGCATATACAAGCCAAGTCACCTTTATTTACGTTTTTATTGCAATATGCAAGAATATGCAAAGTTATTGTTTTGCAGTAAGCAGGAATATGGATTTTTTTATTGCAATATGCAAAAAATGTGTAGTTATTGTCTAGTAGTATGCAATAATATGCATTGTTTAATGCAAAATGCAAGAATGTGCAAAGTAATTGTTTTGCAATATGCAAGAATAGGCAAATATTTTTGCAATATGTAAGCATATGCTGGTTTTTATTGCAATATGCATGAATATGCAAAGTTATTGTCTTGAAATATGCAAGATTAGGCAAAGAGTTTTGTGATATTTAGGCATATGCTGGTTTTTATTGCAATATGCACGAATATGCAAAGTTATTGTCTTGAAATATGCAAAAAATGCAAAGTTATTGTCTAGTAGTATGCAATAATATGCTATTTTTAATGCAATATGCAAGAATATGCAAAGATATTGTTTTACAATATGCAAGAATATGCATTTTGTATTGCAATATGCAAGAATATGCAAAGTTATTAATTTGCAATATGCAAGAATATACCGCTTTTTTATTGCAATATGAAAAAAATGCAAAGTTATTGTCTAGTAGTATGCAATAATATGCATTTTTTTAATACAAACTGCAAGAATGTGCAAAGTAATTGTTTTGCAATATGCAAGAATATGCAAAGTTATTGTTTTGCAATATGCAAGAATATGCATTTTGAATTGCAATATGTAAGAATATGCAACGTTATTGATTTGCAATATGCAAGAATATGCATTTTTTAATTGCGATATGCAAGAATATGTCAGGTTTTTTGCATTTTGTAAGAACAGTTATTTATTGCAGTATGCAAGAATATGCAGAATTGTTTTGCAATATGTAAGAATATGCAGTTTTCAAATGCAATTTTCAAATATATGCAAAGTTATTGTCTTGAAATATGCAAGAATAGGCAAGGATTTTTGCAATATGTAAGAATATGCTGGTTTTTATTGCAATATGCATGAATATGCAAAGTTAATGTCTTGAAATATGCAATAATATAAATTTTTAATGCAAGAATATGCAGAGTTATTTTTTTGCAATAAATAAGAATATGCAGTTTTATGATGCATTGTTCAAAAATATGTAGTTATTGTTTTAAAATATGCAAAATATGCAAAAAACTATGTTTTTGTATTGAAATATGCATATAATATGCAGTTATTGTCTTGAAATATGCAAATATATGAAAAGTTTTTTCCTGCAGTATGAAAGACCTTGCAATTCTTTTCTTTATTGAAATAAGCAAGAATATGCTAACTTTTTTTCTTGCAATACGCAAGAATATGCCGTTTTTTAAAACTGCTAAATGCACGAATATGCAATATTACAACTCATTTATTTCTATAGCACTATAGCAATACAACAGATTTTCAGATGTTTCAAATCGTGAAAATAAAAGTGTTGATGTTGCAAAGTTCTTCAGTTATGCAAATTTAATTTCAGCTTTAAAGTAGCTGTAAAAAGACAATATTGTCATTTCCTTCCTGAAATGCAGACTTGTTGTAAATCTGTTGCAGAGAAATACTTTCCAGCTGGTTGTAGCAAACATGGAGTCGGCGTCGTATGCCATCCTGCTGTATCCAGAGGAGAGCATGCAGTTCGGCTCCACTCTCATGAATGATGAGGATCAGCTGGTTGAAGTCGGCTTCAATGAAGGGAAGGTGGCGGGCTGGTTCGGCTGGGGGTCCACTCAAGGAGCTTACTATCGCATCACTCAAGACAGCGAGGAGTCAATAAGCGCTCTCGCACAGTAAGTGCCATTTTAAACATAGCTATGAAAGTGAAAGTGAAATTATTAATTGTGTATTATTAATCTGGGCTAATTATTAGTCAGTTATTCATAAATGCAGGGGTCTTGTTCCACAAGAAAAAAAACTATGTATATTTAAAAAAAATCATATATGAAAATGAATAATATATTAAAATAAAATACCTACCTAATTTAAATAACAGATTCATTTGTGCCAAATTACTATAGAGTTTAATCGAACAATAAAATGTCCCCGTTTTTAACTAAACAACAGTAACTCTCTATATTAAATATTGAATAAGTGAATGAATTTGTGCTAAATTAATATAGAAACTATGAAAAACTATATATAATTACTATAGAAACTATAAAAACTGATAAGTCTTTTAAAACTTTATTTTATGCATATATATATATGTGTGTGTGTGTATAAAATCATTTTTATATTTTATATTTATATATATATATAATTTAAAATAACAAACTAAAATAACACTGGGTAAATGTATTCATTATCATTTATAGGGATAATATTTACTTATATATATATATATACTGTATATATATATAGTTACTCTTACTTTAAAGTGTTACTTTAGTGGTACATAATAATACATTTAAATATTTAATATTTTGCATTTTCCATTAACATTTTAGTAATTTTGTTGTTGTTGTATGCATATATATATATATATATATACATATAAATGTTTATTATAGTTTCAGTTATTTCAGTACATCAAGTTAGACTAAATTAACTAGCTTTGGCAACTATTTTATTTTATTTCAGTTAGCATTTCTTTTATTTCAGGAAACGAAAATGTTTTCACATCTGATTTTCCCTCTGGTCTTATTAAATATGAATGTGTTGCAACTCCTCTTCACTCTTCTCAGGGAGACGAACTCGGGCCGGCCTGGCGTTTGGGTCTACGAGATCGGCACGTCTCCGTTTTTCACCTCCATCACACCTGGAGAGGTCACAGAGGTCACGACTGAGCAGACTATGGTGGACACTCCGGTGCCCGAGCCGTCCGTCCCGTGGAATCGACCTCATGAGGAGCTTCTGACCTCCGAACCTCCGAATGAAACGCTCGCCAGTCCAGAGCCGTTCGCAGAGTCGTCGACGCCGGACGAGCCTCAGTATCGTTACGTTCATCCGCGACCGAAGACGTCTCAACAACAACAACCGCAAAACCCACAGGTGCTGATCATCGATGAGGACGAGCTGAACATCGACGGTGAGAGAAAAACACTGATTATAGGGGTAGGGCTGTGCGATAAATCACAAAGAAATCACAATCGCGATTAGGCAAAATAAAACAGAGCAAATAAATTGTAATGATATTAATAAAAACAGTGTTCTTCCACCAAACAATGTAGCTCCTCAGAAACAGTTGTGGTTGCTACAAAGTGGTTTCAGAGCAACACACAGAAGTAAACAAAGGTGTGTGTTTGTAGAGTCATTTACAACAGCTTCGAACGCGGCTCAGCCAATCAGAATCAAGGACCAGAACTCTCCGTGTTATAAGCTGCGATAAGTCATGCGCATCTTGCACGGTTCTGTGATCAGCAGTAAATATCCATCTGAAGGCCAGAGAAACTTCAAATACGCCCCGCAGAAGGAACCCAGGAAATCCCTATCGCTGCAGCTGAATAAACAGAAGATTTAACTGCTTTCATTGATTCAACGTGACTAATAAACACACGACTACGGCAATATATGCGACCCTGGAGCACAAAAGCAGTGTTAAGTCGCTGGGGGATATTTGTAGCAATAACCAACAATACATTGTATGGGTCACAATTATACATTTTCCTTTTATGCCAAAAATCATTCGGATATTAAGTAAAGATCATGTTCCATGAAGATATTTTGTACATTTCCTACCGTAAATATATCAAAACTAAATTTTTGATCAGTAATATGCATTGCTAAGAACTTCATTTGAACAACTTTAAAGGTGATTTTCTCAATATTTGGATGTTTTTGCACCCTCAGATTCCACATTTCTCAGCCAAATATTGTCCGATCCTAACAAACCATACAGCAATGGAAAGCTTATTTATTCAGCTTTCAGATGATGCATAAATCTCAATTTTAAAAAATTGACCCTTATGACTGGTTTTGTGCTCCAGGGTCACATATGGTTTATTTGAGTTTGTCTTATTATAATTTTTGTTATAATAAAGTATATAATAATGCAATGCCTTTATCAATGCTTAGAATACTATGAAATATGTTGTGTGCCTTATTCTGTGTAAGAAGCCACATCATCATCATCTCACAGAAGGATTAATTTCTAACACTCGACTGACGTGTGAGTAAAAACGTTATTAAATGTGGTATTTTTACGTGCTTTCAGATGGAGCAGCATTTACTACACAGAGCCGTAGTTCACGAAGAAGCTACGCAAACAGCTGTCATAATCGCAGAACGATGCCTTTGATTTATATATATTTTTATAATCTCGCTATTATATCTTCTGCGATTTTTTTTTACGTAGCTTGTCAGTGAACTACGGCTCTGTGTAGTAAATGCTGCTCCATCTGAAAGCACGTAAAAATACCACATTTAATAACATGTTATAAATTAAACTCCCTAAACTATAGGGAGCCGTTTCACATTACTTTAAGGTACAATTAACAACAGAGCCCAAACTTAAATTAAATTACTATTGATTTTTAACTATAAAAATCAACGCTCAAATAAAAATTTGTATGCAAACATGCTATTTTTAAATTAACTTCTAAATTATACAATTTCTATTTGTTGTTGAAATATAATCATTTACATAGTGGCTGTCAAAACTTGTTTCATAAAAGATTTATTTAAACATACATTAAATAATTAAGACATCAGTAACTAAGTAAAATAGAATTAATTATATAGTCTAATATTTCCTCTCTAGACTTTATTTCTCTAGTAAATAACGAGCTGTAGACACTAGCTATGTTTCCATTCAAAGTTACGAATTAAACTAATGTTCAAAATTGGAATATCGCATAAAACATTTGCGAATAAAGCACCGTTTCCATCCAGTTGAAGAGAACAAAATCGTCACTTCCTAAATAAACTTGCGCTAAATATCATAAAATTCGCTGCAGTAGGAGAAGACTCTGTATATAATATTTTTTCGTATACAATAAATTATGAGCTTCAGAGCGTGCTGACCAAACGCGGTCATGTTATCTTATTTTCGGAGAGTCTGCTGTTTGGGAACGCAGTTCTGGGAGTTAATTATAAAGAAGCACTTTGACGAGACTTTGCTCAAACATTTTAGACTTACAAAACTAGCATTTCAGATGCTGTGCGACGAGATCGATACATTGGTTTATCCAGGTATGCTATCCCATCTTTTTTGATGCGCATAAACGAGTTTATTCGGTAAAAGTGTTTGCATCGTAGACATTTTAGACTTACAAAACTAGCATTTCAGATGCTGTGCGACGAGATCGATACATTGGTTTATCCAGGTACGCTATCCCATCTTTTTTGATGCGCATAAACGAGTTTATTCGGTAAAAGTGTTTGCATCGTAGTTTATGCGCATGTTTTCTTATTGGATAAGATCCAATTTATCCTACTTAGTTAAGCGCATACATTTTATATGTGCATTTTTAGAATTTATGCGCATCTTGGCGTTTCCATCCAGCGTCTTTTTATGCGAAATCCCAAGATGCGCATAAAAATAGGTGGATGGAAACATAGCTACTGATGACTTGCCGGAGGTAAATGAAATGACATTTTGTTTACAAGCAGTTTTAATGACGTCTTTCCAAGATTCATGATTATTTCGTGTTATAACTAGTAGTAAAGAGGAAGGGATGATCGCGCTGCCATCAGAACTGAGGCATTTATACAGCGATCTGTCTTGCCACATCAAAGAGTGCCAAAACGGCATTTATTGTCTGAGTTTCATGGAAAAATGGAATGATTTGTTTGGAATACATGCGAACCGAACCGAAAGACCTGTGTACCGTTACACCCCTAAATTATATTCAGCTGAACAAGTCTAAATTGTGTGTCCATATCAAATGTTTCTTTTTTTGGCAGTGTTTTCTTATAATTACGAGACGTGCTCCAGCAACAAGCACAAGTGCTCTGTGTTCGCCGACTGCAGAGATTACGCTGCCGGATACTGCTGTCACTGCAAACCTGGTTACTACGGCAACGGCAAGGATTGTGTCGCCGAAGGTGAGTTTATGATTGCATCGCAACCAGGTTTACTATCACTTGCTAAAACTAAATTTAAAAAAAAATTATTAAAATTAAAATAAAACAAATGTCTTCACTTGAAGTAACTTGAAATAAAATAAACATAAACTGAAATAAAATAAATTCTAAAATAAATATATATTTATAAAAAAAACATATTTTATTTCAGTTCTTTGCCTAGGAAACATTTCTAATTTTTGTTTAGTTGAAGCACTAAAATATCTAAAACTAAAGCTGAAAAAAAATTACTGAAAAAAAACCCACACACACAGCAAAATCAGTAAAACTTGAACTAGAATTAAAATTAAAATGAATTCCCCCCCCCCAAATATTAATAAAAATGATAATAGTATATTTTAATGATATTAAAATAACACTGGGTCACATAATTTTAACTCTAAACATACATTATCAGGATATATATTGTTTAGTTTGCAATAGTAGTTAACTAAAAATAAAAATAAAAGCATTTTTGTTACTTGAAATACAATAAACATTAACTGAAATAAAATAAAATGTAAAAAATAAACTTATTTTATTTCAGCTAGTTGCCAGGGCAATATATCTCGTTTTCCTTTAGTTTAATTTTAACTAAAGCTAAAACCATTAAAAAAACATTTAGTCACTTGATATAATGTTAACTGAAATAAAATAATATATTATATACTATATATATATATATATATATATATATATATATATATATAAATATATACATTAATGTATACTGATTTACAATTTTACAA